AGGCTGATATTTTATCAACCTTGACGGACCTGTCACTTTTTTTCCTTAAATTTTTTGTATTTTGTTTTTTTTAATAAAATCTATTACAATTCCTAAATGTCTAAAATAAAACATCCAAATAGAAATTATCATAAATAAAACATTCAATCTGAAATTTCAAACATCCCAAAATATTAAACATGCATGATACATCATCCTCAATGATTAAACATACATCCCAAATTAAAACATAACAAATCCAAGTAAACAATAACACAAATACAATCCCACAAATCACCATTAAGTGCTCAACCATCAGCCACCATTTAGTATTGATAGGATTCAAAGCATAGTTTGAAGATGTGAAATTATTTGGTTGAGCTTGAGAAGTAGAACCACCTTCCTTTTGCTCAAGTAACTCTCCTACAAATAAAATTCATAATACAGAGTGAAAATATATTATATTATAGTAATTTTAAATAATAAAAATGAGATAAAAAAACTAATGAATAAACATAATTATATTTGAAAGGAGAGAAAAATAAAAAAATAAAAAATAATAAAAAAGGCTGGCTCTTTGACTCTGTAGATTAGCCTGCTGCGGATTCAATTTTGACGGTTCTGAATTTAAAAGATCTGTTGTAAAACGAGTACCATTTTCATCACCCAAACTCATTATTTTTTGAGGGGTCGGCGAGATGAGTCTATGGTCTAGGGAGTCATTTTTAACAAAAGCGAAAGGGCGGTGTGGTACGAATATAAATATTCAATCCAAGACAGCACATGGAGACTATCTTGTTTCCGGAAGGCCCGGCTGAATGTCTAGAGATGCTACTACAGAATATTCAATGAAGCACCCGGCAATTCACAAAAGACAAAACTGAAGCGGGACGACTTGGCTTGACTTGTGGAACCCAAAGGCAAGAATGAAAGGGGAGGTAAGGGCCATCAAAAAGCTTTCCACTCAAAATAGCCAATTTATTTTTTCAATTAAAAAAATGCATATGCTAGTTCTTATATTTAATATAAAAATTAGTTTGATATTCAATTTGATCTTAAATATTAAATTTTAATATAATTTATCACTAATATTTATCTATTTTTTCCAAAATAGTCATTATAGTAATTGCTTATATTAAATATTTCATCAAATGATAGTTTTAGTTAATATATATGATTAGTAAATGATATCTTAAGGAAGACAACACATATTTATTATACATAACTAACTTAGTAAACTTTTTAAATATACTTAAATTAGTCAACTATACTTAATAACTTGATATTATTATAGTTGAGATCAAATTCATGACTTCTTATTTTTACAAAAGGCTTACATTTTTTTTGAACTTGTGAAAGATGAAAAATTTTATGCTCTTTATAATTTAAGACCCATATCCTATTTTTTAAAAACATTAATGTCGTTATTTGCATTTTCATTTCATCAATTCTTTTTACGTTTTTGGTAAAAAATAATCTTATGCTTAAATATTTTTTTTATTTTTATTCATCAATAGAAAACCCATCCTTTTCGATTTTAAAGTATGTTATCTCCTCCTTGGTCTTTCAATGCATTTTCCAATCTGGGTAATGGAATTAACAGAGAAAAGTTGAAAAAAGAAATAAAAAGAAAAATTTTCAAACAAATGCCTCTTACCACTTTTTTTTTAAAAACATAGACACCTAATTAAAACCGAAAATATATATAAACATCAGCAAAGTGGGTTATTTCTTTGCGAAAGACAAACCATATGATTGCCTTCTGGATGGTACTTCTTTGAAAAAATGAAATCATTGTTTAGTTAAATTATTCTATTTCAGTGATTTGGGATTGAATATAAAATCTCATTTGTTTTTATTTCCTAAATTTATAATTTTTTTTGATAATGATACATATTAAAAGAATTTTCCATCACTTAAGTAATATCTTGTGCAAATGACTAATAAATAATTCATTTAGAGAAACAATATTTTGAAATATTTATAAATTTAATTTGGGTTAATATAATTTTTTTCTTCTCAAAATTTGAGTTTATTTTAATTTTGGTCTCTCAAATTTTAAATATATAATTTTAATCCTTGAAATTTATTCTGTCTTGCAACGTCAGTCCTAGAAGGTATAACAGCGTTAAAATCTTCTGAAGCGTTTTAAACAGTGTCAAAGTGATAATATAAAACCATCAAGTAGTATCTAATTGGATATTGCATGCATGGATAACAGGGGTAAAAAAAAAAACAAAGCAGGTCCTCGAAATGTAACTCAAAGAATGACTGTGCAGAAAGGGATGAGTTCTCGATTAAAATACACCATAGCAAACAACTTTTCAAACGAATAATGAGGGAAAAAAGAGGGTAAACAACTGTGTTTTGAAAAGATGTTCTTTTTTTTTAATCCCTTGTTATTTATACACAATTTAGATAAATTTAAAAGATCTAAATCAAAATAGATATAAATTTTAAGGACAAAAAAATTATATTAACCCATTTAATTTTTATATTAAAAATTCAAGGGAATAATTTTTATCAACTCTTGGTAAAGCTGTTCAAGTCGCACGTGAAGGCAACACCATCAACACGCAAGCTTCAAACTAGAATAAGAGCCTCTAAAACACAGATAAACACACGTGAGTGAGGCATTTGGTGATCTCCGAATTTGAAGAGCTTGTTTCAAGAGAAAGCAAGCTTGCAAGTTCTGAAGGTGCCATTTTTGAGACCTTAGTTTGTTAGAGCTGTTTTCTTTCGCCTCCCTCCACATCGATCCAGGTTCATTTCCTCTCTTTTACTTGCTTTATCCCATGGATCCATCCATTGTATTGCAATCTTTTTTTCCAAAATTTTCATAGAAAAATTCTGCATTAGATATGCTGTTTTCTTCTCCTTGTGCTGGCTGTTGATTATATCAGTCTCCTCCATAGTCATAGATCTAATAAAACTTCAACATTTGGGATTTTTTTATACTTCTGGAAAACGAAGTCCCAAAACGTTCTAAGATATCGGTGGATTTTTTTTTTTAACCTTGATCTATCGACCAGCGTCTTCTTTTTATTCAATTTTTGTAAATGAAGTAAAAGGTTGATTTATTTATTATACATTAAAATTATTAAATTATTTATATTTATCATTTTTTTAGTTAATTTATTTCACTTACAAATTATTATATAATTTAATAATATATTGAACTATTTTAGAACTAAGTAATTTAGTAATTTTTTAAAAATTACTCAATTAGTTTTTATGATAATATTATAAAAGCAAAGTGCTTGTCCCCATTTCGCTATTATGCGTAAAAAAGCATCGATATAAACCAACAGGGCATATTCTCTCTCTCTCTTCCCCCCTATAATCCACTTACTTGATCCCACCGATCTTCGGTTTTACCAGTATTTTCCTAGTATTTGTGTTAATCCTAGAAAACTTCGTTATACTCCTCCAGTCCTAAATATAAGACCCATTTTGTAGCGTAAATTACGCTACAAAATGGGTTACGCTACAAAATGGGTCTTATATTTAGGACCGAAAGGAATACTAAATTATTAATTATTCGTTAAATTTGTTTGAAGAGGAGGAATTCTGCAAAGCTCGAAGTTGACATTTTTTAGACCTTGAGATCTAAGCTGACATTTAGCAGGTTAATACTTGTTATGATAGATTAAGCATTAAGCACATGTTAGTTTCTGTAACAGATTCTAGAAGTAATTACAGCTGTCATTTATGAGTTAATTGCAACTTAATCACCACTTGTATATTGATCAATGAGCCTATACATACAGAGCAAGGCCTCAATGTGTGTCAAGTCACTGAGCCTACATTCAGGTCATAATATCTTCTAACTATCCATTAATTCTTTTCTTTTTCTCTTCCACTTGCTTCATCCTATCAAAATATACTGTTTTGCAAGCATTTTCCCAAAATTTTCACTATTTTCTTCTCACGGGACAAATTTTGTAAATTTGTTAATGTCTTCTTTCTTTTAGTGTTGATAATCTCGTCCCTAGCTACCTTACTTGCTGAAGGCTGAAGCTAGAAACTGCTATCACAACCATTGTTTCAATGCTCCAAAAAGCTTTATTGATCGTATTGGGAGTATCAATTTCCAAAGCCATCAGACTCATCTCTCCTTCTCGTAATGGTAACCAACCAGTTGCTATTGATGCTAGGTAGCTAGCTTCTTCTAAATAACCTCACACTCTTTATTTTCTTGTTTGATTTGCTCTTACATATAATTTCTTCACGGTTTATTTCCGTCTGTAGTTCTGAAGACGATGTTATTTTGACTCAAACGGATTCTCCTCCTGCTACCAAGTATAATGTGTTCCTTAGTTTTCGAGGAGAAGACACTCGCCATAATTTTGCAAGTTATCTTTACAAAGGACTTCGAGATGCAGGCATTCACACTTTTATGGATCATGAACTCCGCAAAGGAGAATCGATCTCACCAGTTCTTCTAAAAACAATAGAGGAATCAGAAATATCTGTGATTATTTTCTCTGAGAATTATGCTTCTTCAACTTGGTGTCTCGATGAGCTTGTTCACATATTAGAATGCAAGCGTAAATTTGGAAGGGTTGTGATACCTATTTTCTATAACATAGATCCTTCAAGCATACGCAAACAAAATGGGAATTTTGGAAAAGGATTTGATGTATTGAAGCAAAGATTTAAAGACAACCCAGAAGAATTGCAAAAGTGGAGAAATGCTTTAATCCAATCAACAAATCTCTCTGGATGGGATTCCCATAGTACCAGGTAGCTTCAAAAATGTTCCTTTTGTTGTTGGTTTTGGGGATTTATTCAATTAATTTTTAGAATTCTAGCAAATTATTGTTGTTTTTATTTGTTGGTTTTGAGGATTTATGCGTTTTCTTTTGATTGGCATTTATGCTAGACCTGAATTCAAACTTATTGAAGAGATTGTCAAGGATATTTTGAGGAAGTTGAACTATGTGTCATCATCTCATCTTGAAGGACTTGTTGGCATTGCTCGACATATTAAAAACATTCAGAGGCTCCTCATTGAGGCCCGCATTGTGGGAATATGGGGTATGGGTGGTGCTGGTAAGACCACACTTGCTAAAGCTATACTTCAAGAGTTGAAAGCTCAATTTGAGGCTTTCTCCTTTATTGAAAATGTCAAAGAGCACTTAGCAAGAATTAGTTTGGATGAGTTACAGAAAAATTGCCTCAGAGAATTATTAAAAGATGAGGACATTAGCATCTATGACATAAAATCCCCTTTTATGAAAAATAGGCTTCAAAACAAAAAAATTCTTCTTATACTTGATGATGTTGACAATTCAATAGTGGCGGCAGATTTAACCAAGGTACTTGATTGGTTTGGAGAAGGAAGTAGAATTATTATCACATCAAGGGACATGCAAGTGCTGAAGAATGCTTCTGCGGCATTTTCAACATATCATGTTCCAGATTTGGATTTTGAAGATGCCTTTCATCTCTTCAATTTGAAAGCATTCAAGCGAAATGAGTCATCTAAAGGTTACATGGAGTTATCAAAATCAGTAGTGAAATATTGTCACGGAAACCCGTTAGCCCTAGTAGTGTTGGGTTGCTTCCTCTACAACCGACAAAAAGAAGAGTGGGAAAGTGCATTGGAAAAACTAAATCAAGGTCCACCAAAGGACATTGTTGATGTTTTGAAGTTGAGTTTCGATGGACTTGATGACAAACAACAGAACGTGTTTCTTGACCTAGCATTCTTAATTAAGCAAGGAGTTCGTATTTCTTTGAACCTAATGAGACAATTATATTGCTCTTCTATGTATATTGAGATAAATGTTCTTAGAGAAAAGTCGCTCATTTCATTTAATAATCATAATGATTTCATTGAGATGCATGATCTTGTGAGGGAAATGGGCCTTGAAATTTCAAGCCAACAGTTATTCTCTGGTCGTAAAACCCCTGTTCGACTATGGAGGCACGAGGACACTTACCACTTTTTCCACAATGACCAGGTAATACTTTACTTTTTAGTTATATTCTTTATTCTCTTAATAGTTAATATTTCTTTTCCTTGTGATGTATTTTCTTAAAGTTATTTGTTTTCATTAAATTCTTCGATAAGTTTCAATATCTGCCCAAATAGACCTTTTTTTTTTTTAAAAAAAAACCCTCCTTTCTTTGACTAAAATTGGTTGGAGCAAAGCAAATTCTTTTTATTAGTTGTTATTTTTTAAGCTTAAAATTTTAGTTTTATATTTAAAAATTTTTAAAAAACTTTTAAAAATATATTGGGTCTTATATTAAATATATTAACTATGCTAGGTGTTATATTGAATTTGGCCATAAAAATATATTATTGAATTTGGTCCTAGATATATTAGGTGTAATTTGAAGCTTAAACTTTTAAACTTTCTATTAGTTCTGAGATAGAATATGATTAGGATGATGTAAGACGTATGTTTTAAATTTAGAGCATGAACGATCTTCAATAAATTATAAAATTATTCACGGAGATTGACATATTTTATATTAATTGATAGCAGTAGCAAACCAAAAATTGATGTAGTATGAAAGTGATTGCGTATGCTCGTACACTGCACATGCATACTCACGCATTTTCTTGATAAAAATTCAGTAATATTGCAAAAAGGTACAAATTATGAAATTCAAACATAAAATTCATAGGCGGTTTTATATACAATAGTTTTAAGAATTTAAGCATGTTCGCATGATTGTCCTCGCGAGCCTGCGTGCATTTGTTTTGTCCAATTTATTTATTGTAAGATAAAATGAGTTGCTTGAATAAAGTGCACAAAGGCACATACATTGAGAAATTCCTAAAAGAAATATATTTAATTGTTCTATTTATTATTTGATCACTTTTTACATATTACCGATTTTTTCCCCATAATTTCATCGATAGGCGGCTAAGGCAATTCAATGTTCATCATTAGACAAGAATAAGATAAACAAGATTGCAATAACAATTAGTAATATTCAGAAGAATTATAATTTAAAATTAGCTAGGACATTTGTGATGCGTTATCTTAGAAGATAAAATTAGTGTACAAAGAATTTTCATTAAGTGATATATGCATACGCATGTGTGAGCATAATTTACCATTATTTGAAGTACAACAGGAAAATAAATAATAATAATTTTTTGCTTTTATAGTTATATTCTAAATATCTGCACATGTATATAGGTATACGCATCAATGTGTCTGTGTATTTATGATTGTTGAGAAATTCATATATTACGAGAAAAACATGAATTGTAAGGAATTTTGAATAAAATGGATGTAGCACTGTTAATTTGGATAAAGTTGATATATTTAATTGTTTTATGGTATTTATGGTCTTTTTTTTTATAGGTAATAATGATTGTGTTTCCCTCTATTTGATATTATTACCAGGCAATTGAGGCAATTCGATGCATGTCGTTGGATGCAAGCAAGATAGAAAGCATCACATTGATGGCTAGTCATTTTCGAAGGATGCATTATTTAATGTCCCTTCAAGTTTACAAGTCAGATCGGGAAAAGCCTTCAAAGTTGAATATTTGTGAACCGTTGGATTATCTTTCTAAAGAATTAAGGTTTCTTAGTTGGGAAGAATATCCATTGCCATCTGTGCCATTACAATTTTGTGCTAAGAATCTCATTGAACTTAATTTGCCTGACAGTAATATCCAACAACTTTGGAATCAGGTACGTATAGTTTCTCATATGTCATAATTTTTTGTTGTTGTGATTCTAAGAAACATTGCCTAAAGTAATTCACAATGCAAATGTTTGCTTTATTACTATCTTTAAATTGATGGTAGTAGTAATTGTACTATCTATGGGGAGTCCAACTGTTCTTGTAGTGGGCATGAGAAAAATTGTTGAGTAAATTGTATGTGCATGTAGTTAGTAATTTATTTAACACTACTGCTTGTTTTCTTTTGCAGCAATTTCCAAATCTAAAGAAAATAAATCTATGGTATTCAAAAAATCTCAAGGCACTCCCAGATTTGTCTCAAGCCCCTATGATTGAATGTATGATTCTTCATGGTTGCATGAATTTGGGTCAAATCTACTCTTCGACTATCCCGAAACAGCGTGTCGATTTATTTATAGGAGATTGTGGGCCGATGCAGATAAATGTTGGGGGCAGTATAAAAGGGAGAAGTTCATCAGGGTTAATGATTATGCGTAGTTATTTGGATCTTGTCGATTTGACATTCAATAAAGTGACAATGAAGGTGATGGTGTGCGGCAATATGATGTGTGGCGTTGGATTTAAGCATGTGACAATGCCATTGAAAGAGACGACAGAATTCATGAGAATGGGAATACAAAGTTTGGTGACTTTACTTCCATTTGTGAGGACAGTTGAATGGTTAGAGGGTTTGATTGAGTTTGGGCATGATTTCAACCAACATCATACTTGTGATGTTCATCATTATTACAACGAAAATGTTCCCTCTGGTATTATTGTGAGGGTGAGGGGTAATAGAGGTGAAAGGGGTGTGAAAGATGATGAAGAAGAGGATGAGGATGATAGAGAAATGATTAGTAAAGGTGATCAAGTAGTAGAGATGACATTATTATTAATGGAAGATGAGGATGATAGTAAGATGGACGATACATTGCTAACAACACTACTTATTCCCAACACCATCCCTCGCTGGTCACTATTGATTCGACTGACATTAAAAGAGGGTGATAGTATTGGGAATAATAATGCAGGTTGCAGCAGCATCCCTCAAGTTTCAATATTCCTCAAATCACTTAATGAAGATTGCAGGGCAAGGATTCAGCCTCTTTTAGGAGTACAACTCTCTTCCCCAATATCTCCTTTACCTCATCATTCTTTCAAAGTCTTTTATAACTACTTGGAGAGGATGCTACAACGTCCTCGTTTTTTTTTTTTCAACAGTGAATACTATGGTCATGACTTAGTTGTTCACTTTATGAAGTACTGCTGTTGATATTAATTATCATTTAAAGTTTTCAGGTCATAAAATTATCAGTCTCATTTATTTTTTTATTACATATTAATATTATGTTTTTATGAAATATTAATTTTTCTGTTTTTTTAATATGTAATTCATGTACGAAGGGCATCCTCACAACTTTATAGCATAAAAATTGTTAATCTTATTTTGGCTTCACAATAACTGCACCTGTTGTGTGTGTTACTCTCCATGTGATGTGAGTATAATAACTAGCATGACAAACTATTTCCTTACTAAGCAATTTTATTATAAGAAAGTAGAATGATTACTTATGAATAAGCTCAACTTGTAAATGTTAAAATGTTATAATATTTAAATTGTAAACTACATTAAAATAAAAGATATTTGTTTGATCGGCCACCTTCAATCATTCCAAGTTGATAACGTGGTTAATTGGCACTGTGGTCATTTTCACTTTTTTTCAACAAAAAAAAAATCTATTTCTACTTGGTTTTCTCACTTGAGATCTAGTAGTAATTTTCCCTTCATATTATGTGACATCAATGATATATATATTTTTTGAAGTGTGATTCATTGAGCGCTTCCTCACAACCTTAGAAAACACTAGAAATTATTAATCTTAATGTTTCTTTTCAATAATTGTTCTATCGTTTGTTACTTTCTGCGTGTGTACATTGTATAACTTATTTAAAAATAAGTGGAGAAATAATTTTCTATTGCAAAGCAATTTCCTTGGGATTATTCATTATTTACCATGCATAGAGTATCCCATAACTTGTACTTCAAAAACATGTATAGCCTGCTTGCATAACATATATTTTACCAAATTAAACTATAACAGGAAGTATTACCATAACTCATATTTTATTACAATAAGTTGTTCACTTCATGAAACGGCATCATTTTTTTACAGCAAAAACCATGTCTTTATTCATTAATAACTCTGTTTGGTTGAATGTTAATGGAAGAATGAAAAATTTAATAAGCTCGATTTTTTATGAAAATGAAGTAGGGTTGAAAGATTTTAATTAATTTTTCTTACCTCTTACTCTTCTAACTTCTCTCCATTAATGGAGGCACAATGATACCTGTAACGTCCCGAATTTTATGACCTAAGATGAACAAAAAAGAGAAATTCATTAAAATTATTTAATGACTAAATAAAATTAGAAAAAATTATAGAATATTGATTTTCAGGGTTTAGAGATATTTTTAAAAATTTATTTCTCCAAAAATGGCTTAAATAATTTTATTAGATAATTTTAAGAGAAAATGGCTTATTTTTGCAGAAAATTATGAAAAAAATACTTAGATATTTATATTTAATCTGAAAATTTTAGGATAACCAGTTGTGATGGTGAAGAAGATAACTGAGGTATAAAATCCTTAAACTGGGGTAAGGATTAATTTCTGGAATTAAATGCTATTTTCTAGAAAAATTCAAAAAAAAAAGTTCGGAGTTGATTTTTGACCTGGAATTTTTATAAAATTTAGTTTAGTGGTCGAGGAAGATAGTGAATGAGGAAAACCCGTATAGAACATCAAGGATTAATTTTGGAATTAGTTTGATTATTTCAGAAAAATAGTAGAAGGAAGAAATCGCAAGAAAGCATTGAATGTAAGGGCAAAAGGGACATTTCGTTTTTCACTTCCACATCACACGTGTACTGCCTCACCGTTTAACATAAGATAACACTTCCTCCTCATTTTTCACTCGGCCACTCGAAGGAAAAGTGAGAGAGACGAGAGCGAGACCACACGAAATGAGAGCGACGGAGGAGGAGCGGAGTTGGTGGTCGGAGGTATTTCTACTGTATGCAAACCGATCAAACTATCCAGGTGAGCTCCCTAATCCTTCTCGCACCTTTATTTTCATTGAACAGGGGCTGTTTGAGGTGTTGATGAAGATAGAAGTTTGGTTTTAGTGAGAGAAACTCCCGATTAAAGCTGAAAATTGATGACGATGAAAGAGTAGTTCTTGTTGATGATAATGGAGTATGATTTTTAGCTTGCATGTAGATTCCATGCCCCGTTTATGTGGACCGAAACAGAGGTTAAAGGGAGGAGAAGGACGTTTCATATATATATATATATATGCATGTGCCGCGGGATCCTGAAGGTGCTTGTGTGTGCTGTGTTTCTAAGCTTTGGGTGTGTGTGAGAAGTATAAGCGTGAAGTGGGTTGCTAGTGTGACTGGTTGCATGTGTTGTTTTCCTCTGTTTATTGCTGTCCGAGCAGGGGAGTGAGTCGCTGGTTTAATATGAAAACGGGTTGTGTTCATGGAGTGTCTTGAATGGGTTGCATGTGGGATTTCTTACTCTGTTTATGATTACCAAAAGCAAGGACCACAGTTGCTGCTGTAGTGCTGTCGGATTTATGGGTAAGGGAAAGATTGACAATATATACACACACATATGTATGTATGCTGGATTTTGTGGTTTTAGTCGAGAGCTTTGGTGTTGACTGCTCTTTGGTTGTTGTTTTGTGTTTGGCCGAAAGGAACTTTATATTTGTGCGTGTGAAGTTGAAGTAATCAAATAGAATAAATCTGGTGTGTGTGTGCGTGTGCGCGCACATATCCCTATGCTTGCTATTCGAATTGAGATTTGTTGATGTTGGGGGTGTGAGTCTCGAATCTGGAATTTTAAAGATGGAACATATATAGTTACTGAAAATTGAGTACGTTAGGAATGAATTAATTCCATGAAAAGTATTTCCCCATGAGCTTAAGACATGGAAAACGAAGGGAATGTAGGATTAAGGTGCTGTAATGGTGATTTCCAAGGTTGGAAGTGATTTTCAGATTTAAGTGATGAAAGGATTAATTAAGAAGTGGAGGTTGGGGAAGTGTATGAGTGGTAGGGAATTGACCGGGACGTTTGGGTGTGTTTTATGGTTAAAAGGTTGAATAGGGAATGTAAGTTTTTAAGGAGGATAAGGAGAAAAATTTAAGTGTAATGAGGTGAATAAGTATGGTCAAAGATTAGTCCTGGGTATGTGTTGAAAATCAAGAAAATTTCCAGATTTGAAGTAAAAACATTTAAAAATTGATTTCAACATTTGTATGGGTATAAAATAATTTTAGGATTTTGGAGAAGGACCCTGATGTAAATACTTGAGGTAGTTAAGTATGATTAAATATTTTAAAAGGTTTTAAAGGGAAGCAAGGAATAGACTAATAGTTATAGAATGAAAACAATGGTAGATTTTGGGGATTTAATGACTGGAATTAGAATTAAACTTGGTGGCTGTTTTGGGGATCAAAGAAATTAACCTAGGAATTGATTTGAAATTTTATTGTTGAGGTTTGTTTGAGGTTTCCAAATGGTGGATGGAAATTGTAAATGGATTGATTGATAGTTCATTATGTTTGGAAATTATTTAAAGGTATGTATTTGGAAAATTCTTAATGGAACAGTTAATGGCTAGGGTATGGGATAAAATTGGTAAATGATAGAAGTTGTTAGAAAGACTGTTGGAGGAATACTAAACCAAAGTTTAAAAAGGTCAATAGATAATTAGAAATTAAAATTGCTTGGCTTGGATTTAAATGATAAGTATTATGTTAATTGTTAATGAAAGTTAAAAAAGCTTATAGAATTATTTTGGGAAAATGAAGTTAAATGAGGATTAAAATAATATATATAAATATGTGTGTGTGTGTATATCTTTACTTTTTCCATGATACCAACTACTTAATAGTGGAACTGAAATTGGAATTGGGGACACGATGTTACCCTTAAATGTAATAATTAGAGATAATATATTTAACCAAGATGACCAGTTATTAAGTTACCTGTATGGGTTGAGATAAAGAAGGAAACCTCCATAGTGAATATATTGAATAAGGAAATTGTTTAGGATGACCAACTATTATATAAGGGTAGAATTTAAAGAAACTTGAAATTTAGAGAAGGTTAGTTAATTTATAAATTATATTGGATCAAGTATTAATCTACCCTTACCTATATAATAGGTTTTGATTTCTGTAAAAACCCACTGAGGAAGCTAAAAGAAAGGAACAAAGTAGGGTTTAATTTTGAAGTGGAAGGTTCAAGTAGTAGTTTTTTTATACCTTACACTTGCATATGATTGCTGCATGTTTGTTTATGCCATGTGCTATTTCAAATCATGAGAACATGTAATCCTTAATTCCTTGGATGAGTAATTAGCCATGATCACATGCAGTTGAAAGATATGGGGCCTTATGAGCCATTATTGGCGTGGCCTTATGTGCCATTGTATGTCCGGGTTTATGTGCCATTGATTGCACATTCAGTTCATTTATCTGACTATTTGTCATTACACTTAAATGCTTTATATGCATAGTTTGCAAGGTTATGTTTTGTTTGGCTTACTTGGCATGCTTCATGTGATTTGCATATGTGTTTGATGGAAATTACTACTACAGGGATTCTCCAAAATCTCACCCTCCCTTCCATGATGTACAACAAAAGCAAGCAGCTCCAAGGATAAGGAGGTTGTAAGAGCTGAAGGTGGGCATGTATGAAGAGCAGGAATGCCTGCTACTTTTGTACTTATAAAATAATTATTTCGATAGATAATTAACTAACTTATTAAATATTTAAGGGCAAGTAATTTCTACTTGCTTATGTATATACTATTTTATATCTCCCATAAGGAGGTATGCACTACCTGCACTCAGGTAAGGGCCATTGACCGAGATGGCCAGTATATCTACCTATATATGCAGTAGTATAAGGAGCAGGGTTCAAGTGTGAATCACTCGTCGGTTTTCTGTTAGTATCTGGGAAAAAAATTCTCAGTTTTTCCCAGGTCAAAAACCTGGTATTTAGTGATACACAGTCCTTAAAAAGACTTTATAAGAGTATTAGAAAGTTAGGTGTTGCAATACCTATCATTTTTCGACAATGACAAGGTAATAGTTTTTTTTTATAAAAAAATTACTATATTTTATGCTCTTGATAATTGTTTATTCATTAAAATTTTCAGTTAGTCTCAATATTTAACTTGAAGTTCCTCAATTTTA